CTTATGAAACAAGCTTCAATAATGATGGCATTGATAGTGCCTACTGTACAAACATTAAGATTCTTCATAGCTACAACGGAACCGATAACTTCTTTTACCTTAACTTGATGAAATTAACAAATTTTTTATTATAAAAAATCAGACTATACAACAGTATTCTAGCCTTAAGACTTAAACACAAGAAATTTGTGTTTTTGTATTTTTTGTTTGCAAATTAATAAGGAAATTGTAATTTTTGTACAAACAATTTTACATGATGCTTGTATGTAGTTAATGTAGGTAACTTTGACATCACCATAATTGGTATAACATGGTGCAAGGTATGGTATAAGATTTGTATTATATCACATCATATAAGGGCATTGATTGACATATAGAAGGTAAATTTTGCCTATTGATTATTTTTAACTACTTACAGTATTGGGAGCTTAGGTGTAGCCCAACATAGAGAAAGTGGAGAGAGTTCATGTGAAAAATTGTATTTTCAACTAAACTTTGAATGGAGCAAGTATCAAAACATGGCCAACAAGAACATGATTCAAGCAGTCAGTCTAAAACCAATAGTTTTTTTTTTTTTTTTTCATGTTTCCTCCTCTAATTATTTTCCATTTCCATATAGAGGCATGGATATGCCAGGAGGATCTCATTTAAGAAGATTAAACTCTATGAAGTTACCAATTCCATTGTAATTGACCAATTTTATTGTCCCTACAAACAATGCAATATAAATATAAGATATTAATGTTGGTTTGGATTTCTTAATCAGAGATCAAGTTTTAAATGTGCGATAACTATGGTTTTGCGATATATATATCTATAAGGCTTAACAGTTTGAATAAGTCATATATCATATTCAAAATTTGAAGAGACATCAGTTAGTCATAGGGCTATCAACTTTAGTTGTAGTTGAAAACAAAGCTCCACTAAGTTTGTACTTACCCATATCTGCCAGATATCTACAATTGCTAACGACAACACTTATTCCTATTATCACAACACTTATTCCTATTATCACAATACTTATATAGAAGATATCAAAACTCTATTTCTAAAGTAGATTACTTGTTATATTAATTAATTAATTCTAAGAATAATTAAAATCACCATGATGTATTTGATGGATTTTTTTAAGTATGAATGATTAACATGAATATGAAAGCAAGGTTGGAGGAGCTTAATTGGTATATTGCATTGTTGTGTTTGTAATTTAAATTGTATTTAATGAGTACATTACTCCAAGATTGTTATTATTTGTTTTATTATTAGCAATAAGGTTTTTTGTTTTCTCTTGTATGAAGGGTGTTGGTTAATTTGAATATATAGGTAATATTTTTTTTGGTAAATTCAATATATATAGGTATATAATACTGGTTAACTAAATTACTCCAAATAAAAATTACGAATGACTATAATAGGAGGTGTTGGCCCCCAAAAACTTCTGATAAGCAATGAGAGGTACCAAATTTACCACTCGAGGAAGACTCATTCTTTGCCACCCAAATCCTATTAATGCCATCTCTTTCTTCCTCTTCTGGTACACAATAGCATCTCCTCATGACCACCACAATTGGTATTGGCACAAAGTGTAGCCTTATTCCTTATGACCATGGGAGTGAGGCCAACGCCACCCTACCATGTTGAGGAACGTGGGATGTCGCCACCACAATGTTTACCCCCACCCCCTGAGCCATGGTTTTCATGGCTTGTGCCTCTTATATTCTTGGCCAACATTGCAATGTTTGTTCTCTCCATGTACATCAATGATTGTCCAGCAAAAATGAGTCCAGAAAAATGCCTTTTTTATGAATATCTTGGACGGTTTTCATTCCAACCCTTCAAGGAAAATCCTCTCCTTGGCCCTTCAGCAGCTACGTAAGAATTCAATCTAATCTTTTTCTTAAATCAAAATCTGAATTATGCAATATCCATATTTTCTTTGAATTCAAAGATAACATTGTTGAGTATAATTCTAATTTTCTTCCACTCCTAAACATTTTCTTTTTGTTAGGTTGAAGGGTCTTGGAGCATTAGAAAGGGATTTGGTGGTGAAGAAAAATGAAACGTGGCGCCTTCTATCTTGTATGTGGTTTCATGCTGGAGCTATCCATTTAGCGGCCAACATGATGAGCCTTTTATTTATTGGAATTCGATTGGAGCAAGAATTTGGATTTTGTAAGAACCTAACTCAATAAGTACTATACCCTTATTTTTAAAAAAAAAATTCTTTATTCGTACCTAATTCTCAACCTCAACAACTTGAATATGGCAGTGAGAATCGGAATTTTATATTTGTTATCTGGTTTTGGTGGAAGCTTGATGTCTGCTCTTACTTTTACGGGACAAAAGTTAGCCATTTCTGTTGGGGCATCTGGTGCACTTTTTGGGCTATTGGGAGCCATGCTTTCTGAGCTCATTACTAATTGGTCACTCTACACAAATAAGGTGCATAAACTTAGCTTAAAAGACTTGATCAAACTTATTTGGTTTCAAAAAAAAAAAATGTTCTAATTTTTATTTTTTCAGTGTGTAGCACTTGTGAGCCTTGTGTTGATAATTTGCTTAAATTTAGCCATCGGATTCTTACCTCATGTCGACAATTCTGCTCATATGGGAGGGTTCCTATTTGGATTTCTTCTAGGATTTATACTTCTCTTTCGCCCTCAATATGGATATGTTAGTCGCAAGTACATTCCAGCGGGATATGAAGTTAAACATAAAAAACCCAAGTACAAATGCTACCAACATTTGTTCTGGGTAGTTTCCTTGGTCCTCTTACTTTTAGGGTAAACTACTTGAATATTACTCAAAAAAAGTTGATGCATTTAGGCAAATTCTACATTCAAAAGATTAGCTGCACCTAATTTGCAATGGAAAATTCAACTAATTACTTGGTTATGTTTTTGCAGATACATAGTTGGCTTGATTAAATTATTTAAAGGGGAGAAAATAGAACAAAAGCATATTGGCATTTTCATTCACGTATGAGCATTGTATCCCACATCAAAAGGATGTGGATTAAGTAAGAAATACATATTTATACGAAGGACTTGCACCTAAATACCTTCTTTCATTTGTTTTCCTTCTCAAAAATGCGTTCTATAATTCTTATTCTTTGATTGTCTTCCCTTTCCAACTACATGCTTATAATGAGAGTAACTAAAAAAGAGAAAGCAAAACA